GAGTACTAACCTTCATTCAAATATTTCCACTCAGAGATTACAGGTATGCGCTCAAAGTTCACTGTTGTTATAACTGTAGTATAATGACAATATCTGTCACCACAGTTTCAGTTGAATAATATATCTATATCCATCCACCCGGATTTTATCATTTTCCTCACTTTTTGTTTTCCAGAATAAGAGAAGATGAAAATTGTGTGTTGTGTGATGGACAGTAACAATCCTGTGTTTTTGTAATTGATTATGCACTCATTGCTTTATTTCAACTGCTTGTTTTATATTAAATTACAACCATCTTTCCTTGTAAATTTTATATGTTCACATGTCTAATATATACCTATTTAATAAAATTTCTCTTCCTGTTAGTATAAATTATGATTTTGAACAACACAGTGACAGATTCATTTAGGCTACTTGAAGAGATGGTGATGAGCATTCTTAGAATTATGTTGTGAAGTAGAAAAATTCAGTCATTACTTCATCGCGTTTATTACAACCCATGGATGAATTTTTCACATTTTAGTTTAAACCTACAAATATTGGTCTACCTTTGTTAAACACTTTAAACAGTGTTTGCATGTATATGTGTCTGTGGGTAAACAGTTGTAAAACATTTCTTAACGTCTCCATTAGAAGATATAGACAGTCAGGAACTTTGATCAAGTATTATTAATTACTGGTACATGGGAAAAGTGTGAATAGAAGCAATTGCTTTCTTAATGACAATAATAGGGGCCGCTCATTATGAGTGGTTTACTCCGGCTTCTTCTAATCTTTTTCATTTCAGCTTCCACCAGCTGTTGTGAATCGTAAGGGACGGACCTTTTCGGGCGAAAACTTGGTGTGGCGTTGGGTCGTAAACCTAAGAGCGCTATCATGGTTTCTGCTACATCCCACTTCCTGATGGAGTTAAGACTTGAATTCTTGAGGTAACCTTGAAGAATCCTTCAATTCAGCTCTGTTGCGTCTGCATTTGCGGTAGATTTCTGAGAGCTGTAGGCTTTCCAAGTAGTCCGGACCAAACAAATCCAGGTTTGCATTATTTACAGAAATTGTACCGAGAAAAAATAGATTCCACGGAATCTGACGTTGCAATTCAACTGCACGGTCAAAGGAAGTTATCCAACAGATGCGCTAACTGCTACCTGATCTGTCTACTGCACAGTGGGGCATCCCAACGTTTGCCGTATTAACGCGGAGCAGGCGTGTTGATGTGATAAGCAGCCGTGATACTCATAGCTTTCGGCACTGGTTGTCCACAGAATGGGCTTCTGGACTTTGCTAGGTGAGTCTGCAAATAATATCCATCTTTGCGTCCAGTGGTGCGGCATCGTTGACATTAATTGTGCTTGTATGGATATTATCTTACATAATGCCAAGCCTCATGATGCAGGTATGCTGAAGGCGGAATCTGTTGCGGATGATGCTGTGAGTTTGACGTCAATGGTTCTGGATGCAGCTCAACAACTTCGGCTACATTGTAGCCGCCAAACTGGATCAATGTAGCATCCTTGTGAAGGTCGGTAAGTCACTGATATTCTTCACCGATGTCTTTCACCGTCTTTAACGAATTATGCTCAAGTTATTTCAATAATCGTGTTCCTATGTCGGGGAACTTGGAAGACTGCAAGCCACAAATGAAGATAAGAACACTTTAACTTGAATCGCTCACATTGCTAATTTACAGTACCAATTTGAGTGTGAATGTTGCCGTTTTCGTTCAGTATGAGTTCCATTCAGTGGTAACGAATGTTGAACGATGGCCTGTGGTCACCAGCCAGCTGAACGAGTGTTCGGACAGTCCCAGCGAATGTTCCGTCGCTGGGGCTCTGTGGAAGAATGAGGTTTCAGTATTTATTCAACTCAGAAGCACTCAACTTCCACAGTAAGAGTCTAACTTTCTATGCATCAAGACAATACGATACCACTGAAACGGGGACTCAAGAAGACAAGGAGAGAAGACAGACCGTTGATGTAGAGAGTTTTCGGTTTCTCGTATCAACAATAAAATGGTTTACAGTGCTTGCTTATGTATATATGCCTTAAACTACCTTGAGAGACATTAACCACATTGAGAAATTAAATCGGTCAATAGCCTATAGAATTCCAGCAGAGTCGGAAAATGCACATTGTCAAAGTGGGCAAAACGGTCAATTTTGATCGGCGAAGACGTGGGCAAAACGTAGATAAAATGCAGCATAGTTTACCCATTTTGCCCATACTGGCCATGGGCTCAAAAAATTTTCACGTCGCACGTTTTTCCCATTTCACGCACACTACCCACGATTTTACTGATTTATCCCATGTATGGAAAGCCAAAATTCATCTACTTTTCCCACTTTGCCCATGTTAGGACAGAAAATAGCTCAATTTCGCCCACTTTGGCCGTTTTTAAGCAGAAAAATGCCCACGTATTTACCCACATATCCCAGGTCTGAAAAAATTCTCCAACTAGGAAGGTTATAAATGGGGACAGGGAAACACAACCAGCAATGTAAATATAAATGTAGTATTTTAGGAAAATTTAGTCTATATAACAAGGTACAATCGAATTGTAAGAGTACACAGACTTTTCCTAACAGATGAATTATTATGTTTTCTCAGTATTCATTTACGCATAATGCAAAAAATACATTTTCTAAAGTGACGTCTGAATCAAGAAGAATATCATAATGGAAATGTTTCATTACTGAAACGCGGATGTATTTTGGCTGTGATTAGAAAGCCTAACACTCCACTGTATGCTCATTTCTGTTACCGAATTGCAAGTTGTTGAAGAATGTGAATCCCATCCTAGGATGTAGACACTTTTTTCAAGTTAATAACCTACAAGTGTCCATTATGCTTAACCAATAAAAAACTATTTGGAGTAATTCAAGATTTCTTCTGAGAAATTTAGAACGAAAATGATTGATTAACTTTTCGACTGCATTAACCATACATCAAATTTAAGCACAAACTATTGACAATAGGATTTATCTAAGGCATAGTGGTATTGGTGGGTTACACTGATGAGTAACAAATTATAAGCTTCAGATTGTAGCGGTAGGTGATTCCTCAAAATTATTAGCCACAACACTCATCAATGAATATTGGGGGCTGACCCTCACTGTTTCAGTCGATTTGTTTAGCTGAAGGCTTACAATCAAGCATCCACGCCATTTGGCACACCATTGTGTTACGTTCATTCGTTCGTGTACGATCCCTAGCTGGAAAGCAATCATCTCGCACTCCGATGTGGTCTCGAAATATAATTCGTAATATGGACGATCAATTGTGTCGTTTCGCTTTGCCTTTGGTCTACGCGGAACGAATACTATAGAAGTTGTGGGTATTAGGTCTTGCGTTAGTATACTTCGTACTATCCGTGAACTTCAATACTGTAAGTGCAATATCGGTTGAAATTAAGTCACGCGTAGATAAAGGCTATCCCGGTCCAGAACAAACAAGAAGCCGGTCACTGTTTCTACGCGTGACTTAATTTCAAGCGATATTGCGCTTACAGTACTTAACGGTTTCAAGAGTACAAAGCACAACGCTTAACAGAAAGCAAGGTACCGCTATCAGAGCGGAATAACGTTAAAGCCAAAATTGCGAACTGGCCGGAATCAGACACGACCGTTCAGGTAAGCAGTCAGTAGAAGAATGAACCCAAGTAAGGCAGGGCATAGAACAGAGAGCGGTTAAGAGATAGACAGAGCATAGGCACAAAGATAGAATTTAATTGGCTATTTAACCAGGTAGGCTGATACAGATGAAGATCAATAAATAAGATAAACTCGACAATATAGTACAAAGTAAGACATGAGTCGGCAAAAATAACAGTTCAAAAAATACTCTGATTGGGTCATGAGATCAACGATCTGACTAAACGGATCGATGTAAAAAAACACACACAGTTCATTAAACAAGGAGGGATAGACACGTTAGGCATGGATAATTGGGTTGCATACAACGCTAGGCTGATCCAGGACAGGTTGATTTGATTCAAGGATGGGAATTGAATTGATCTTACACCGGCCCCCAAAATCCGACTAGGATTTTATGAATCATGTTACACAGAATAACCCTCGTGCCCGGCTCTCTTACAAATGACTTCCCTCTAGTAGGCATATCTTACGTATATCGCTCTTCATCTCTCCGTTTCTCGTTTTTATTGTAACGGTTCTGACAAGTCCGTCCGCGGATTGCTCGCATCCCGCAATAACTCCTAGCGGCCAACGGTCTCTTGTCGAAGATTCGGGCGCAATCATCACCATATCCCCCGGGGAAAGACTTTTAGATTTTGTGATCCATTTCTGTCTAGTTTGAAGTAAGGCTAGATATTCTCGCTTCCATCTCCGTCAAAACGAAGCTGTTAGATGGATAGCCTGCCTTCATCCGGTGTTGTATACCTGGACATTATCTGATGGAGTCTCCATACTAATGTTTCGACAGACCAGTAGTAGGTGATTTGGCGTGAGAGCTAGATTATCTCTACTATCCGATGTTGATGGTACAAGCGGCCGATCATTCAATATGCGTTCTACTTCTGCCATAAACGTCAATATAGTTTCATCATTTAGATTCTGCTCATTGCATAATGCTTGAAGAATAGCTCTCACTGATCTAATCATTCTCTCCCACACTCCACCTCTTTGACTCGCATTTGGAGGCTGGAAGTGTGGGAACGAATGATCCGCTAGGCTGATCCGGGACAGGTTAACTTGATTAAAGAATTGGAAATGGAATTGATCTTACGAACACCTTCAGCCTCCAAAGTATTAATTCAAATAATACGCTTATCAGTCATGCAGATTTGGTATGTTTGAAAAAAAGGAAAAGTTCTACGGTTTGATCACTTAAAATCAATGAACTAATATCTTTGAAATCTTTACAGAACCGATTAGTAGAAAAGATCAAACATACAAGATGAATCATATTTAAAAGAAAAGTAAAGAAACGTAACTTTTCTTTACACCAATATTAGCTATCGAATGATTTGTCAAGTGTTCTCAGCTGAAGACGTAATTAGTTCTTATTTATCTTCTCATTTGTGCCAAGCAACTGCCTCATTTTCGACAGAATCCAGGTCCTGTGAACGGTTTCACATTCCAGTTCAATCTTCAAAAGGCAAGAAGAAAGAAGTTTAAGAAGAGCAGTATGAACTGGTTGTAATGTCTTACGCAATAATGTAAGTGACGAAAAGTATTCATGGAAGTTTGATGAGAATCAATGACACAAGGGTTAAATGTCATCATGATCTCATTGCAGCTCTCAGACTGCATTTGTTTCCCTTCATCTGGACAGTATTCACCTCACCTAGTCTCTCTCTATTTAAATAACTTGCCACTGCTACCATAATCAGCTGTCATCGAATTGAAACATACTCAAAGCTGAAACACTTACTGATTTCATATTCTCAGAAATGTTCAAATCCATAAGAAGCAGGATTGATGATCCTCATTATTATTATTGTTCCTTTGGGTTCCTAGTGGAACATAGCGCTTCAAATGCACATCTCCACTTGCTTCTGTCTTCTGCTGTACTTTTCACTTGCATCCATGTTAGTCCATACTGTTTCAACTTCTCTTCACACGATCTCCTCCATGTCACCCTTGCACCGAAGAACCACTCGCCGCTTCCCTTTCGGGTTCCACTCGACCGATGGCGTGACGAGCGATGTCACCCAGCGGCCTCCTCAGCGAGTGTCCAATCCATCTCCACTTTCTCCTGCATATTTGTTGAGCGATTGGTTCTTGCTTTGCTTGTTCTCATAGTTTCTTGTTGGCGATTCTTTCCGGCCATCTGATCTTCAGTATAGAGCGAAGACAGTTGTTGATAAAGGTCTGCAACAGGCTGTTGGAAATATTCTTTGTGACCCGCCAAGTTTCTGATCCGTAAAGAAGAACTAACTGACTTGACGTTTGTATTGAAAATCCGAATTTTGTTGTTGTTGATGCTGAGTGACGAAGATTTCCAGCTGTAAATGGGATGAATTTGGCCTATCTATATAGGACAACTGCGAAGGTGTTGCTGTAGTATTAGTGAGTTGAGTAAGCAGATTTCAACATTCCCAGAGTTAGAACTGGAAGCAGTAAACTTACTGCGTACTTCAACATTCCACGTGAATCTTACTCCGAAGTCACAATACGTAGTGAATCACCTGTCTAGTATTCGGAAAATGTCTCTGTGTGCAATGAAGTGAACACAGACGACTCTGCAATTAGATACTCCTGTCATTTCCGATTAGTGTATATTACTTTGAGTCAGATAAGACATTAACCAGTATGTGGTGAACTCACACAAGTGAGTGAATTTCACTCTGACTTTCGCTGGTCAACATCAGTTACTTTGCATAGTTGGTCATGACAGGATATTCTGAAGTTTCTTGGAGATGTGTCTTTTTGAAAACACGCTTGAAATGATTTCATGTGGTTAAGCATTATTTGTTATTCAGTTGTATCTCATTTGATAATTCAATAAGTCATAGAATCGAGTTTTGTTCACACACCACATGAATTACTTCCATTTCTGTCAGCAGTCTAATTTCAGTTAGTTTTGAATGCATGAGGATATATACTACTGATAAATAGGTAGATGTCAGTAGTTGGACGACATGTGCATACCGACCAGTAGTGTTTACTTGTCATATCAAATTGACGTAAACATTGAATAGCCATTTCAATAGGTTTGAGATGAGTTTATCAGAGGTGTATCCAGTGTGAATCAACTCAGAGATCCGAATCAGTTCTGACCAATCGAAATCTAACTAGCTAATAAGACGAACTTGTAATCCACTGGTTCAAATTCATCTGGAAATCGCAATTGATGTTTCATGTGAAAGTTATTCAGTTCGATATGATATTTCACCACAGCTTCCTTCAAAAACCAAAATTTATCAGATCATAAAGTATGTGTGATCTAGTTCATACCATGAATTGCAGTCAATAAAGCAAGCATATATCAATACAAACCTGACTGATCGGTATGACCAGTTGCACGGCACTCACACTAACCAGATGTGCTTCCTCAACTGATTCAAACTCGACGCACCATTGCTGAACCCAGCACAAAATAAGTGAAACGACCATTGGGTGTTTGCATCAATTTGACCTCGCCAACAAGCTAAACTGTTCGATGTGAGCAGTGACCAACTGATCGATCACTCGTATCGATCAATCAGCAGCACATAGCATCATGCAAATATGCTTGCCCTCTTGATTGCCATTTAATCTTACCAAGATGGTATACACTTTTGTCCTGAAAAATTGCCAGTCCCAGGGAAACTGTGATTAAATCTCACCTCAACATGTGTAAATTGGCAGGAGAGTGTTAATCTACAAATTTCGAATATTGTTCAATGTTGAATTCGATTTCCACACTTTATCCACTGACAAATCGCTAACAAATAAATGTGTAATACTAGTTTGTCTGTGTGTGTGTGTGACGTTGACTGGAATACTCGAAATGTATATTGAAGCAGTACACTCAAACTCTCTCAAAGAAATCACGTCTGCTTACGGTGTCATAAACGCCAATTAACTGTGAGTGGGCTAAGTGTCATTAGTCAGTGGGATAGATATTCACTACTGAATACTGCAGTTATACTACAGTTATGAGTACACTCGTGACATCAATTTATGTTATTCGGTTTGTTCTCACCCACAATGTGCTGTGCATTGTTAATTTTAAATTTTATAAATGAAAATAAGCAGCTTTCACTCACAGTATCATTTGACAATGGAGCCACTTCAATCTCTCTGAAAAATCATAAAAATTGCCTGCATCAATTGACCAAAGACGTTCAGCAGCTACAGCAGTTATCGGCCTTTGACATGTTGTCAGCGAAGTTATTCCATTCGAGATGAAAGTAAAATGAAATGTGCTTGTAATACATGTCAAGGATGAAATGGTTGAATGGAGTTCTAAGTAGAGAAGTAGATTCTGTGCATAGTGAACAATGGTGAATGTGTCTTAAACAAGAGATCAATGAGCCCCTCGTTTCAGTGGTATGAGTGAGTTCCAGTTTGTTTTCAGATACTTCCATGATAATCTAGTCACACGAGTAAACTGATTTCTTTGTCATGTAGCATGAAACATGATCGCTTTCTAGTTTCGTAATACGGATTAGATTGTGCCATTCAAGTTTCCAGTGTTGGTGTATATCTGAAATACTGGTGTTAGTTGTGTTATTTATGGCACAGTATAATCTCGAGGTTGCAGATACCCTTTAATTGCCGATTTCATATACTCCTGTTTGATCGATGTGAGTAGTTTGATTATATAATTATAATATGAATACAATTTCAAATGGATGGGAAAGTTCCAGAATAATTTCCTAATTAATACAATACTAATAGTTTTATTCAGAAGAGTGTTGATATACTGTGCAGAATTTATTGCGCAACCCATTGCCTTCGTCTGGCACCCTCAGGTAAAATGGTAATTGATGATAGCAGATCGCATGGTGTACTGTCTTCTGACCTGAAGCAATCACCAATTCCTTATGATATTTATTCTTCATCTCCTTCGAGAAAGGCATGACATTCGGTTGAAAACCAGTTAAAAGAAGTCCACGAATACACTTTGTCATAACATAAGACATAACGAAGACATAACTGAATGACTAAAGCCTTCAGGTAGTTAGTTTCATTTCCCAGGGAGTGGCGGTGTGTGTGCTTAAAATGTCAGAAACAATTATCGAATCGGCCAAGTTTTAACTCTGAGCACCAGTAAGTGCCAACGGACAAATGACCCTGAAAGCACCAACCACACGGTAATGGGAATTTTGCGTATAAAACGAATATATATTCATGAAAGTAATGAATTAAAAGGCATGAAACCGTTACGCAGCATACCACCCTCTGATATGTGACAAAATAACTTTCAATGTGGGATTGGAGTATCGACAGAGTAATTTAAGCATGTTTCATGTATGTAATTACCTTGGTCTTCTAACCCTAATAACAACAACCCTAATCTTTCCCTAACCTAACCATATGGTGAAAATATCCCTACTTGAACTAACTCTTATCTAACTCGAACAAACCCTAATGTCACCCTTATTGTGCTAACGTATTCCTAACCTGTCCTTAGCCAAAAGCTTAATTTTCTCTTTCCAAAACTTCAACTGAAACTTGTCAGATATCCCATTTAGTAGCATAGCACTTCATCAGGCATACTTAATTCATGATTCCAGTATTATATGCCAGGTGTCATTAACTTAGTTTTAGACATTCACGAGAACGATTGATATAACCAGAGGTCATATTTCTATAGATCTGTGCATCTAGATCCGCTCCAACTGCATTTTAAACATGGTCCGCTTATTTTGAAATTATTCACACGACAGTCATTAAGGTCATTTTCATCAAAGTATAGTATAGTAGTAATATAATGCAGTGATGTCAAGCACACATCACAGTTCTTCATATAAATCTACAAGAATTTGACATTCTATGAATCAATCATGTTTAGTTCTAACAGCAAATTAATTGCAAAGTCAATGTTCAGTCAATCTTGAGTGATTGATGCACATGAGACCTGAAAACACGCTGTCCAGCACACTGATTACATATCTATCGTTAATTGCTTACCATGATCGTAGAAAGAGATTCGTGTCATCCACATATGTTCCCCAGATGATGACTTCGCCACCAATAACCAACTGAGCTTCTTCCTCAGTACCTGTTTACAATGAGAAGAAACACAACTATCCGTCAGTATCACAAACATTGTCAGAGTAAAATATGCTTCAGTGTCATCATAAAATTGTCTTCCAGACACTTCGGCACAATAATTGTGAAAATGTCCTGTGTGTTTATCTGTGAGCATGTGGAGGGATGTCAATGCTCTACCGCTTGTCTATTCCACAATTCTCCACTCCAATCTTACTTATACATAGTACAGTTCAGATCGTCTTGTTTAATGAATTCTACTGTATCTCATGCAGAATATCAACCCCTACAGTCGTGTCTGAATTATCATCCATTCCACGCTCCATTCACCGCTACAGAATATCGTCTGATTCCACTCAATTGTGTACACATGGATTAATATAGTGGCAGTTTCTCACGTCGATAATTGACATGTGTCAAATGTCTACTGGGAGCCTAACATCTGTCATTAATTTTATACGGGATTTACAATTTATTCATAAATAGCATCATAACTACCTCCAAATGCAGCAGGATCACAATCGTACAACGTCTTCCATGCATCATCGAAATTCCCAACAACTTTCGACCAACACGCTGAATTGATCACTCTGTATCCAGATGAGGTGACTGACTTGGTGACATCCTCCCAGTGGGAATTATCGTGTACCTGTATGATGACAGCATTGTCATTACCCTGGTAATTAAAAACACGAAATATTAACACTATTTAGATGATCATATGTGTGAGATTGGCATTTCGGAATTCATCTATCTCTGTGTCAATAGGATTCTTTCAAAGCTTTAGGGTAGTGCCTGTCGCCTCATTCCTTCTCTGTTTATTGGCATCTTCTGGTCCATTAATACTCTTTTCATTGGTGTTCAGTTACATACTACTTGTCAAAATAAAGTAGTACACGCTCATACTTTGCATAATTTACTTCCGTCACGCGACAAGAATTAGTCATTTCCATGTTTCACCCTACGTCCTTGTGCATGTCTATATTCGACTATTTCTGATTAATTTTGCCCCACTCTGTACAGCCGCGCGTTGTTTTTTCCTGACTACATTCAAAAGTGACGTTTACACAGCTCTACTGCTTTCATTTACCGACACCGTTATGGTGCTCTGACCGAATTTATCCTGCACACCTCACAATTCAAGTTTTTGAAGTTGTGTTCTTCTCCTTATCTAAAATACGGTACTAAGTTAAAGGAGAGCTATCCAAGCAGAGCAAACGTACCAATGAATTCGCAAAGATCAACATCATAAAGGAGAGGTGTTTCAGCGCCTAACTCAACACTAACCCCAACCTACAGCTAACCTACTCTAATCCTGCCTAACCCTAACCTATGCCTAACCTAGTTCTGCCCTACCACCTCCCTCTAACGAAAGCTGAAATAAAGCGGGTATCATGTTTCATACACACTTTCACACCCCTCTTGTCAATTCGTTATGAATACAACGTCACTTACATGAGTTCACACATTCACTGTGGTTGCCAGTTTTAATGTCATTGGCGCCTTCGTTGTCTAACCTTTCCCTTTCTGAACAAATCCATATAAGCCAAGGATTTCATTTATTCAAACAAAAGTTTACTTACGGCTTATCGCACAGGATCTCTTGGAAGAAATCCACACTGCTCAGTTATCACTATTGGTAACTCACCACACTACCTCATGTATATGTTGAATCAAGTGATTTCAGATACAACAGACAGGTGTGGGTGTTTGGATACTTAAACTGACACACTTCCACATCATAAGACGCTAAACACAGAGCCCATACACGGTGTTGATGATAATAATAGTGATAATAATAATACTCCCGATTTCGCTTATCTCAAAATAACCAGTAACACGAGGTTTATATTCCCAGTATTTTTGAAGACTAAACTCCCATTGGTTGTTACATTTTCAACCTATCAGGGAATGTAATATGTATCCAGGCCATTTAAAAGCTATGCATATGGGATCACGGTAGTGTCTGAGTATTGTTGAGTCAGCGAAATCTTTCCTCCAGCGGGCCACCTTCTCTCCCATGTCGCCCGCAGCGGTGATCTTACTGTTGTGGTGGTGGAAATAATTAACGTTAAAAGAAGGATTATGTTAGGATGGCTTCCAGTCTATGACCAGTCGGATCAAGTCACTTCCTATGAAGCAGTTGATATATGCAAAACATCCAATGTTAATCTCAGGATGCTGATTTCATATCCCGGATAACGGTACGTCGTCTTGTGTTACATTGAAGTCAATCATTCGAAGTGTTAAGATTTAAGATAATAAATGGAATAAGTTTTCGAGTGTCCGGATTGTAGCAAGGTGTGAAAATATGGACACATTTTTATCCTCACGAAACTGTTTCTCAACATTGTTTTCGTGTGCTTCTACACAACAATTAGGTGGACAGACAAACACATACAAATACTTGTGAACTGAGATGAGTAGTCAGTTGGGTCAGTGGAACGACATGAATATTTCCACATGTTCACTTCTAAACTATCTGCTTGTTTCAGTGTATTGTAATCATACTCTGGAAGTCAGTGTATATATTCTCAAAAAGCACACTTCTCGTCACTTCCAGTCACATTCAGTCAGGCTTGTAAATTGAGCAATGTTCACTTCAAGATGAAGAAATTACAGCGAGGATATTTGTATTTCTTACACCACTCAACTTCCTGAGTCTTCCATTTGTTGACTCATAATTCACTTGAATCAGTGATACTATGTAAAAATGAAGAGTTTGTGACTTTTTGGAGAGGTTTGAATGCAAATCGATGTGACTAGAACAATGAGGCAGGATGAGGATGAAAAGGAAATACTGATAAATCGATGAAGTCCCTCTGGATTCAATTGTGAGATGGTACAATAATGATTCAATAATCTGATGAGAGTTCTGCTGCCATCCTTCTTCTGTTCACTGTATATATGATCTGACTCGAAATTCACATGCTCAAAATATTTCAAATTAAAACTAAATATCTGATCTGGTTATTTAGATGAGAGTAAAACTGCATTAAGTTATGAACAGCAATCGTAAATTGATGAATACTTACTCGGAATCCATTCTCAAATACATTCTGCCACACCACAGGTGTCACGCTTTGTGACTTTGACGTAATATTCCGAATAACTTCTGTGAGGCGTTCAAAATAATAATTTTCTAATTTATTGTAGTCTTGATCGAATCCTTTCTGTTTCATGAATTCTTGGATGTTGGCATCTTCTCGCCTACACACAACAGAACAACATGTTTCTTGTTAGAAATGCATGTAGCCTTCTACAAATTGAGTCTACTGACATTCTTTTATGAATAGATTGCTCGATGGATAGACCAAGGGGGAATTCGGATGTGTTGGCTGTGTAATCGTGGGACAATGAAACTACTTCTTGTCTTTCAATAGATAAAGACACCAGAATAGAAAGTTGGTCAAGCGTTTCATGGTGTGCATGTGACGAAGTAAAGGGAAACGCACATCTAACGCCTCAATAGGCATGGATGAATGCCAATCTATTATCATTACTTTATATAAAATATAGATTGATCTTACAATATTAATTAATATTAGAGCAGAATTTAGGCACTATGGTAAAGTATAATTCCATATTAGACAAGTTGACTCGATACAATACACCGTAATACTGTCTGAATCATTGGATGATGATATTTCGAGCACAATTTGTTTGTCACTGTTGTTAATATTGAATGAATGTCCAATGACATGGGATATTCAAACTGGTTTCCCTTCCGTTGGAAGTTGCAATACCTACTGTGTTTTAGTTGCTTGCTGTACAGCAGAAGATTGGAAGAATACGATCAGTAGTATTATTGAGAATTATACTGATGTCTATTAAAGACTCTGAAGCTGTAGCATTTGAACTCGTAACATTTCGAAGCTTTAACTGTTGCTCCTGTAACTCTCTTGTCGTGCTGATTTATTGTCAGTGGAACAATAAACAATCTCCAAATCGACAATTTGTTTTCTGATATTTTCGAGTTGGTTTAGTTCACAGTTTTCTGAATGCATCTATTGGCCTTCAGGGAACAGCATGAGCTTAGGTTGAAACTGGTACATTTACACTGTTCTTTATCAAAATCACATCAGTGCGTTCACACAGCTTAAAAACTTACTTTACGTGAGTATGCTTCCCGGTAATTTGTTCGCAGTCATCCCTATATTAGGGATAGCTGATAGGTCATTTCAATTCCATGTGTTTGGTGTTGATTTGATGCCAACGTTTTCAGCGATTAAACTCTCTCTCTCTCACTGAATACTCGTTTGGACATCTAGGTGCTTATGCGGCATAAAAAACATGTTCTACATCGTCTTCAAGTATGCACACACAAATAAGACCATATCAGTCACACCTACTAATCATGATTCGATTGTAAAATCAACATCAGCGTAAAAATAAAGTTCAGCGTTTTCTATTTCTGTGAGTTGTAATGCTAATTTTAAGTCAGTTTATGGGTAAAACATTTGTGTGAATCTCTATCGCAGTAGTACAGTTGGTTAGATTTATGGCTGCTATTGTAGAAAGTCAGTGTGACTATTTTCACCCTTAACTGCAGGTCCTAATCTTATTCTTCCAAGCCATTTTGGAAATATGAGTTTTGATAGGCTATATGAAATACTCTGAAGCAATCTTCTTTGGTGAACAGTCTTCCTGTTTTATGTCCATCATAACTTTCACCAGGTGTTCTAGAAGTCACCAGTAAGGATACCACAACTCATGCAGGTACGACCAGTTTCCGATCTAAAGAATCAAAGCCACCTTCATTATTTGGTGAGCACTTCAGAGATTCGCTATGCGTTTCGTCCCTACAGGCACCTTCCAGCTGCTACATTTGTGTAAATATTTTGTCACGAATTAAACAAAAACTGAGAATAACCGTTTCACACGGTTATCTATGTGCATTAATGTCTTTTAAAAGAGGTAGTGTTAAACAGCGAATATGAGGTACAAAGCAAAGATTATCGGAAACTTAAACTTAGGAAACATCTGGCTATTTGGCCTTTCCTCACATGATGAGAAAGCCGAATCGCATCAGATTCCTTACGAGAAATCATTCAGCCATATGCATGTGCGAAACTAATCACACATCAGAAAACGTCAGCACACTCACCATGATTGCCTGTCATAAACGCTCCCACCTAAATGTAAGACACGGTCAGGAAATACACTCAACACTTCGCTGAACAAATTTGATAGAAATGGCCAGACATTCTCATCGACTGGATTGATTGGTCCGTCATGTGATTCACCAGAGAGGATTTCAGGATGACTTTTGCCCCATGATAGAGTGTGACCTAGATGACAGAAAGATATGTGGGATAGTCAGCTTGTTACCGTCGTGCAAACATTAAATGAGCATACTATAAATTATTTAAATTAATCCCAGCATGTTTAAGAAAATATCAAAACAAGATTTTTTTGAATGTTTCTCTGTGTAAGCCACAGCTTCTTCAGGAGAATAATTCGGATGTTTTTAATTAATGGATGACTAATGAATCAGTCTGATTTGGCGCTTAAATTATTCCAAGAAGTTCGTGACATCTACTATCTGGAAAGTTATAAACAAATGAGTTTATTTCACTGAATCTCATACACTGCTTGCTTCGATCCGAATGTCAGTCACCATAGCAGATTGTTCTACGAAATACGCTTCTGTATGTGAATTCTTGGTCCGGTTATTAGTGTTTCGGGCGCTTCATCATCGAGGTGACGTAGAACATCTTTCAAATGTATTCAGAGGTGCTAACCTCTATGCAGTTAAATTACCAAACACAAGTGTTTACTGTCGGAGAATGGTATCTGTTGAGTATGTAATCGGTTTTCCCCAACCAAGATTTGTATTCCGGTGCTCCTATTTTCAGGCACATATTATTTCACTTTTATGAACTGGAGGTATCTCACACTTGTCTGCAGTATTCACAACTTTTGATGACTTTCGTGAATGAAGCTGCTAAATTCTATCACATCTGAGCAATTAGATTTGAATCTCATTATCAAAACAGGTAATTGATTTTGGCCACCCGGCGAATCCCTAATACAGTCTTAATGTCATCTGGAGTGTGTGTGAAAATCTTCTGCTAACAGTGGGGATAATCAGAACTCTTTCAAACTAAGGAAAACAACACTTCATGGATGGAGTAGCTCTATATATGAAAAGGTCTTCTTCAGTCATGTGATACACAGTGAATATGGCCATTAAGATGTTTTATATTATATATTTGAAAAGTTCACCTTTCATTCTCACCATCTTATTCTGTACTTCTAACTTTATCTTTTATTCAATTTTTCGGCGGTCGAATTAAACCAAATTCTATTGTCTACATTAAGCGGCCAGATCGATCTGGTTACTGAATCTCGGCTTATTTTTCATAGACTCGAATGTGGTCTGAATGTCCTGGACATTGAGTGAAACTTTCACCTATTAGAATCTATAAATATTTGCAGGGAAAACTCTTTCCTACCAAGTAATAGCGATGAACACACACATTTTGTGGTGAGAGGTGGCTGCCAGCCAAATTGGTAGACAGTAATTTACGTCAATGTTTACGTCCCCAATATTGGTCGTGAAAAAAATTAGAACAAAGACAGATTCAACAACCAGTCACAGCAGACTTTGCGTAGGCGGATACAATTTGCAGATAGATTATCTGAACTTCAATAAACGGCCACAAAGAGATGAACGATTAACATTCATCGAGAAACCACCAATCAGAAGACCCTGTATGTTTTCTCACAATAATCTGTAATCATGTACATGAAAATATTATAAATATCTGTTGATTTCCTGGCCTGACCCTTGTCTTCTGTAGTTACAATATAACCGCATAATTTGCGAATCAGTCACCCATAAACTGAGATTATTAGTAAATGACAATTACAAAGTGCACAGTCGGATGTTATCACAATAATTTCTATACTCCTCACCTGGTGAATCATATTCAACAATCACCCGAACACCATGTAATCGAGCGAATTCTACCAGTGAGTCAATTTCATCCTTTTCATACACATACGAATGTGGATGATACGCTCCCTGAAAATACAATCATAATAAAAAAAGCAGTGATAACGCATTTCACTGGGAATATCTCACCTTTGAAGACAATTCAGGATACACTGAAGAAACATACGGGAAGGATTCATCATCTATCATATGCCAGTGTAGCACATTCATCTTCACCATTGATAATGCAGCCTTTCAATTCAAAAATTATGAGTCACATAACAAGAGCAGGAGGTGGAAGGCAACTTACAATGACATTCTTGATTGTTTCAACGCTTAGATAATGTCTGGCTGTATCGATCATCATTCCTCTGTGTGGAAATCTTGGTGAATCTTTTATGCCACACTCAAGTATCGAATTCTATTATCGTGAAGTGAGCACATTTCTGCACTGTACCTTGTAGTTCTGATCTCTGAACACTAGTTGCAGGACTGTTTCCAAAGCGTGTAATGCTCCCCATATTTCATCTGATTGAATGTGTATAGTACCTTGGGAGACATTCAAAATATCTAGATGACGAAATTCCTCGTGTTTAAACACCTAAAGTGCGTTCCACCTACATGATTCCTTCATTGAATCGGATGGCCATAATTTTCCATTTTCTTCATTACAGCCTTCAGTAATATCAATTTGAATAGTGGTCACTTTGCAGGAATCTGGTGAATGAGCGTTAATCCGCTGTGGTACTTCTTCTAGACGTAATGCAAAACGTTTCAATGCATCCTCTAAGATATAGCACGAGTTGTAGTTATGTTCAACACTCAGAGATCTGGTGATTCCGCATTCGTAAAATTCTGAAGCATATTGTTTCGCTTTGGGGATTAAACACTCTGAAATTGCAATGAACCATAGTAATAAGAATGGGTGGATCAGGTTCCTTTTTGCAGGTCTCATAACTCAGCTGGGTTAGGATTGAGTGAGTCAAATGATCAATGTGCTCTTTTGAATCTATCTGTTTTTCTGGTTTTGGTAAAGGGGTGAACACTTTATACTACAATTTGATGAAATCGCCATTTTAGGATCATAGTGTCAATACTTCGAGGTGAATGTACACTTGAAGTGGACTTTGCATTGGTTTGTTCAAAGTGGCATGTTTTTATTGAAACACGCAGATTCACACAGAATTTGAAAAAAAAGAAGTACCAATGATTTACTGAAAAATTAATCAATAACTTGGAGAACTCATATGAATATCAAAGAGATCAAAGTTTATGATATGAAAAAATTTTGTAGATGGACAAAGTCGAGAAAATATTTATGAAGACTGTCACACAATGACAAATTACTGATTGTGTGTTGCAGAGAACATGAAGAATCCGCAATATCTGTGAAACTTCTGTGTGAATCACTCGGTTCAATCACATTCTACTGAGCTTCCAATGTGGTGAATGTTGAATATAAAGTGACGTCCCTGGGGACTAATTTTATCCCCTCAGAAAGTCTCTCTTGTAACACCTTGAGTTTGTGTCACATGTGTTGCATTTGAATATAGTTTTTAATGATTTCTCTCTGTTCTATTGTGATGTTTTAATTATTATCATTGTCCTCGACTCTTCATAATCTCTGTAGTACTTGTGGAAATTAATCGCGATTCCACGCAGTACGAAATTAATCGAATATGTAGTTGAAAATTTGTTTTCCAGTTAGGAATTTAAAAGTAACAATGCTGACAAAAGAATTTCAGATGATGTCACCTCATATTTAAGCTACCTGACTTTTGTAATCACTGTTAAGCATACACAAATAGAAAAGTCTCGGTTATCTGAAAAAGTGCTCTGATGAGTCAAAGACTTAGGCAGAACAAAATGTTAAGGCCGTTTGAAGAAAGGATTTAACGACTTATAATAACAATTATCATTCATTATTTTGTTCCACTGGATTCCGAGTGGAACATAGGGCTTCACCATCTACACTTGTACACTTTGTTCTATTCTCTGATGTTCTATTTTCTTCAGCTAGGTACACGATTGACCATAATCTCTCATCCTTTCTGACTCGCCCGATCTCCCACATATCGCCCTCACATCGACGACCTACTCGTCGCCTTTCATTGTGACTCCACTCCACCTATGTACTGCACTGTGCGCGATGTCATTTGATTGCCACCTCAACGTATATCCAATCAATCCATCTCCATTTTCCCCTAAAATATTTGTTGAGCGATTTGTTGTTGGTTGCTTCGTCGCCAGTCAGACATCTAATCTCTAGTGTGCAGCCTGTGAAATGGGCAGCTGTTCACAGATGTCTCTAACTTATTGGAAATGCTTTTCGTGACATGCAGTGCAAGTTTCTGACCCATATAAAAGAAATGACTGAGTGACTTCACATTCCTGTTGAATAGAATCCGAACGCAGAAGACTTCCAAGCTGGTTTCAGATTGATGAAGGTATGTCTTTCCTTTCCTTTTCTGCTTGGCTGGCTTTGACATTTTCGTTTTGATCCTGCCGCCTTCCCTGACTTCAGTGGCTTGATTGCATTCAAGTTTTCGACTTGGAAGTTTGGCGTCCAATGGCAGTTTCGTTCTTAATGTTGACGACATTTCTGGAAAAGTTGCAGGTAACAGTAAATTCAAGAGTAATTTGAAGTGATAAGCCCATTGTTCTGTTTGCCTCCTCTCTTAGATAATTAGGTCCACTAGACCAACTTTGCTTGTTTTCATCCCCTTTCATCTCTTCCTGGATAGACACCTGGTTATCTGATATAATTTTCTGAGGTAGAATAAAATGTTGAGGCTATTTGGGGAAAAGATTTCAGAACTTATCTGACCAGTATGACTGAGCTACGGACTCTGATGTGTGTTAGCAGAACAAAGGAGAGCCTCGAAATTATGTCTGCAACTAGTCCGATGTGCACTCGTTAAAACAAAATTTAAAACAACTAAAGTATCCTCAGATGGAATAGACGTCTGTTTAGTCAGTTTTAAGTTGGTCCAGTTCGACCCACTAATTGTAGTACCGGGTATGTTTTTATTCTGTGTAAGATGTAATACACCATAGTTCTGTAAGACACAGAAAGACTGCTATTCATCTTCTAACTCCTTAAAGCTTACCTTTAATTAATGCAAGAGTGTCTGTTGTGTACCTTACTCTCACAGGAAGGAGAAATGTTTTTCATGAATTAATCAATGCAAATCTGAGCTACAATCACCCTTTTCATTTACCCATATTCTCTGATTATGTTGAAGAAGTGGTTGAAGTCTAAAACCGAAAACGAGAATGTTAACAATACAAGAACAGCAACTTGAGCACGAAGATACTACGCCATTCATCTCATCTTTTTCATTTAAATGGTTCTTGTCAACTGTCTATGGCCTTACACTATTTAAATGTCACTATGCGAAATATCTATCAGTAGAGCTCAAATAGAAATGGAAAGAAAGAAGTTATTTGGAGGAGTGAGAATTAAATTAACATCACATGTTACCTAAAGCTTAAATAATAATTGAGTTGAGCAGAAGTCAAAAGATAGTCGTATGCCGTTCATTGGCTATCCTGTTGTACTGCTATATTTTGATTAAACTAGCGTACACATATATCCTAGTACTTCTTCTCGTTTATGATTGTGTCCTAACGTTGTGCTTACTCGACACACACAACGTTAATCAGAAGACACTTGAGAAGGTGTAGGAATGTGTATTCTCGCCGTAATGAAAATTCAAAACTTGAGCGAGTACAAATGTATCAATTGTTAACGCGCAAGATTTAGAGTAATAAACAAATCAAAGTACAATTACACAATGAAAGTATAGCACGATGATGAGTATTAAAATGGGTCACTGCAATCCTATTCGATTATTATTTGACTACATTTCGAATGAGTTTCTAGAACCTTCAGATGACTAGACGTCACAACAAAGCTCTCAGCTATGACTTCTGATGACAGGTTCCTCGACTGGTGCATTTTCTCTGACCAATTAGTGTACTCGAACACCTAAATCGGGTTCAGCATTCCCGGTTACAATTGTCTAGAACAGCCTCCCATCTCCCCTTTAACTTCCGTATTCGACCGAGTTATGGGAGATACGAATATGTCGTAACTAATTTTCGTTTTCAAAAGTCTCTATATGTAACAATTTCATTTCTTGATCCTAAAAGAGACGCTTATTATAGTGTTCCAGCTAGCCAGTTATTTTACGTAGGTTGTTGACATTTTGAAGACAGAATCATTGATTCCGTCATGTACTGTTGAAGCACTGTTTTCCATTCGAAAGCCGAAGGAACAGCAAATAAATAATTCGACTATTTATAGACGTGACGAATCACCAAGTTGGAGAGCGATGCGGAAATGCTGTTAGCACAGCAGAAATCCACTGCAAATCCCGGAAATTATGGGACTTAACAAGAATGTGGTTGAATCCTTGTGTTGTCTATAAATATCTCCACTTTGATTCCTGAGATTTCTAAACAGGAACTGATAGCCATTGAAGGTTTAAATGCCTTAACCGAAGGAAAAGCCTTACGCAAAAATTAGGATTTAGTTTGTATTTTTATGAGAAAGAGATCACTAGAATTAAAATAAGGGTGAAGAAATTTCAGAAGTTCCCCTCTGTACAGTTTCCGACGTCTACGAATTTCACCTGTGAATTTATCCACATCAGGGGATTTTATACACTTAGGGATTCATCAGCTTATATTTACCCTGATCCTTCACTCTGTCAGCCACAATTGCACAGCTGTTTAAACACACCATTTTAACCGTGTGATTTATACATATTTTAAGGAACACGCAACCACTTATTCTTCATTGCTACATTCCGAAGCTTTTGTGCTGGTTCACACAGCCCTTAGTATACAAGGAATTTGACTTTCCTCTCCTCTGAAATCACCTAGACCGTTTTTCTACCTAACTGAATTCTTTTTCCAGAAAATTTTTTCAGCCCATGTTTCTTTATAAGCCTTTACAGGTTAAGTTTTGGTAGGTACTACAGAGCACAAATTTCAGCAAACCTGATCAAGTGGTACATAATGACCAAATATCTAGCAGCTTATCGACTGCTAAGACATTTTCTCAACTAATCGTAGAGTCTTTCTTTCAAAGACATATTCAACAGAAGGATACATCTTCAGAAATACTGTGCTCATAGTCAATTAACACTGAAGTTTGTCAAGAAGTGGAAGAAGACATACCAGTATCAAGAGGTCATCATAGTTGTCTAAAATCTCTAAAAATGTCACCTTGTATGCGATAGAAATAACCAGAGGGCGAATTAAATCACATGTCACTGTGATTAAGTTTGATGTAAATGAAGAAAAGAGTTGAGTTTCACCCCATCCCACCTCAACAAAATACACTTTTATTTCAAAATAAATTTCAATAGTGGCATTGTGTTTGTATTCTCAACATGTCCACTTAGAGTATCGAATGTTTCAACGTTATTTGTGAATGGTTGAATTTGCCACATTCCTCCTTTGGCAGTTTCTTCATACGGAACAGAATCCAGGCCCAGTAAACGGCTTCACCTTCCAGTTAAGTCTAGAAAAATTTTGAAGTTTGTTTTAATATGAGCACAGAACATGTTAGTAGGTTTAATTTAAACAAATACAGGTAATTTAAAGGTGTATGTCTGAAATCTTTTAATCCTGTAATCATAAACAAGCTTGTTGATTCACTATGCGAACTCATAAACATGTGCAGTGTGTTGACAAAGTAGCAATAGACGGTCAGACCATCCAAGGTCATATTAGGTAGGCAGATTTATTTTAATGTAGTAGACGATGCACGAGTGTTGAAAGAAAGTCTAGTAATTCGGAGGGCGAGTTACCAAATCTCATCACCACGCGGGATTCCAGCTCACCTTCTGTCATCACCTCCTTGAAGTGGTAAGTAATTTCACAAAATTATTATCCTGCAGCATCCACCGATAAGAAAACTGTAGAGAGTATGGATTTAGCAGGTGATATTTGTATTATGTCACACAAACTCAGTGACTTGCAGGTGAAAACCAACTTACTTTCTTCAGTCATCTAGTAAGCACTGTTCAAACACAGGCAGACGGGATGGATGAAGATGTCAAAGTAAGCCAGCCAGAATCGGAAAGGCAAGATACACATTCATCAACCCGAAACCAGTTTAGAAATCTTCTGCACTGACTCAGCCTAAAAAAAAGATTCGGATTCTGTCCAACGCCAATGTGAAGTCGGTCTATCCTTCTATAGGAGTCAGAAACGTTCACTGTGTCACGGAAAGGAATTCTAAAAGGATGCGGACCTTTATCAACAGCTGCCTTCTTCGATGGCTCCATACTTAAGATCAAATGACCAGCTGGCCAGACAGAAAGAATTAGCAACAAACCACCGAACAGCCAATTGCTCAACAAATATGTAAGAGAAAATGGAGATAGATCGGGCATAGGTTGAGGAGGCTGTCGAGTCATATTGCGCGCAACACTGGCCATTGCTCGAGTGAAAAATGGATGAGTAGCGACGAGCGGGTGGTCGGCGCGAAGATGGCATATGGGAGATCGTATGATAATCGTCAACCTAACTGAAGAAGACTACAGAATATAGAACAAAGTAGAGATGTGTTGTGGAAGCCCTCTGTGCGACTTCGAACCCAAGAGAATAATAAATAATTAAAATAAAATCCACCTTTCAACACTGGATACCAATGTTCACCGTTCAAATCACGTATTTAATTTGAAATTACGCGGTGAAGAATCCACTCCATCCGACACTCTCTTGTGTTACACTCAGTCGTTTGTGCACGCACTATATTTAGTTAGCCAGTCATAATCTTTCTATATTTCTGATCTATATATACATATTTCGTATTTTAGACCATTGGTTTATTGTTTTAATTTGTCTCTGTTCCGGTTATAACCAGTAATTTGAAAGTTTCAGGATAAACACTTGCATAAGCATGTAGTGTATCTGTTGCAACCGTTGACATCCTTCACTGTAACACACACTACACATAAATAGATTAGTAACAGTAGTTTTCTGATGTTTTCAAATGTTGGTTTGCAGTAGTTTGATTGATTTCAAGTTATATCACAGAGTGACATCAATTAGAGAACAGTAGAGAAACCTGAGAGAACTGGACAGGTGATTCATCCCAATTTGGGAATCTTCATCAGTATGCATCCATTGGGGTTGGAACTCAGGCTAAAGGATCAAACCTGTAATCAACGAAAGAAATCCTTGCAAACCAACACTTGGAAATTATTCCGATGCTCACCTGAGACTGAACCTGTACAGGAAATAGCCTGTAGTTTCAGTGAGAAGTAATGGTCAACTGGATCAACCAAGTCACGTGAGAGGAAAGTTACCAGCTGATGAAATTGTCTGACTTTTGAGCTGTATAACATGAAATGGCAGAATTCAGTATTCATGATGGACATTTCTCTGAAGCATCCAACACTTTCACAATCTCACTTCAGAGTACGTCCCACACTGAATTGAGATGTAGATTACGGTTTGTTGACATCAAATCAGTAAGCACTTTTCAGTGTACACAGTTGGAGGTGTGTGGTTTCATCATAGTTTCCTTTGGAAACCAAGTTATGCAGTTCATTGAGTGTGATCTAATTGATTCCATGAATGGTAATCAAGAAAACAAGCGAATTTCCATAGAAGTATATATACTACTGATTGATTGAGGTGAGTAGTTGTATGCCATACAAACATCAACCAGTAGTGCTTGCTATCCAGCCAGACTGAGGTGATCTAGACACATGGCGGAAGTTTCCCTAGTTTGCGGCCAAGCCCATTAGCGGTGTATCCGATTTGACCCAGCTCAGAGATTCGAATGAGTTCAAACCATGGGATTGCTGAGATCAAACTTTGTAGCATATCTGTCAGTTTCAAGATTGATAAAAAGAGTTGGCATGCATACATGCCTTGATTTCAATACACATGCATAACTTACACTCTCATTCGACATCGAAGTTTCTCCAATCTTTTCAAAAATTCACCAAAGTCATTTGCATTATGAGACCATAGACGTTCAGCAACAACAGCGGTTAGTGGCCTTCACATAGTGGTAAAAAACATTGTATCTTTAGGAATTATTCTCTAAATGCAAAGATGTTATTTTTGGATAAATATTAGTTCTGTTAGCATAATCTCTGAACTGGAGGTAACTGGCATGGTGCTAATTTATTCAAGTAACACGGGATTATGAGTGAACTAGTACTTGGATACATTTATTCCAGTCTATTTGAGTAGCCTAGCAACACGTCATTTCTTTTCAGGTCATTCTTTGAGTAGACGTTTTTCAAAATACCACCAGCTTGAAAGCGCTTTGTCAATCAATGCCTTAAGGCCAAAACAATGTTGTGTGTTTGATGACGACGAGCGGTGAAGTCTAAGGTACACATTCAGCTCCATTTTGTATCTCGTCAGTGAGATGTACCGCCTATTCTCTGCGAGTTATCTTCTTTCAAATGAGACTCGAAATCATCAGCCATAGGTTCAAACTCTATGTCGGTGGTAAATGGCATGAAGTGCACATGATGCATTTCAACGCTATTCATCAACAACATATAAATGACATGATGAACTTGAGCTGTTTTTCATAGACAGTTGGGACGGATTTGGATATCAAAGCCAGACAGGATCGGAAAGAAAAGATACGCCTTCATCAACCTGACACCAGTTTGGAGATTTTCCGCACTGACTTAACCAGCATAAAGAACAAGTTCGGATCCTGTACAACACAAATGTGAAGTCAGTCAGTCAGTTCTTCTATACAGGTCAGAAACTTGCACTACGTGTCATGAAAAGTTTTTCGAACAGGTTACAGCAGACTTTTATCAACAACTGCCACCTTCACTGGCTGGCTGCATACTGAAAATCAAATGGCCAGCTGGTGAGCCAAAAAGAATTAGCAACAAGAATCTCTTGCTGGTAAACAACCAATCGAGAGCTGATTGGTCAACAAGTATGTTGGCGGAAAGGGAGAAGGATTGATTAGGCATACTTTGAGGAGGCCGTCGAATGATATCGCGCGAATTGCAGGCTATGGCTCGAGTGGAATCTCAATAGTAAGCGACGAGTGGGTGGTCGGTGCGGGTAACATGTTGTTAATCACATGAACTGAAGGGGGGTTTCATACCATAAATGTATCCGTTCTACCCAGGTCAATGAACTGTCATCAATTAGTTCACATATAATTCTTAAAAGTTTCATTAATGTCCCATATCAGGAATTCATGGGCTGGTCGTTGAATCAGGTCCCAGTGACTTAATGGTCTACGAGCTCGCCGCGTCGTAAACAGAAAGTCCACAAGATTACTGTTCCATTCTGTGCAAGGACCATTTCAAGACTGTCAGAGCACATAACTCTCCAGTAACCCATTTCGATTTGGTTCACCGATGATTCTTCAGTTTATTCCACTACTCGGTTCAGCATTACTTTTAAAGTGATTGACAGGTGGCATCAGATGACGAATTGAGTGAAGAGGGATGTTTTGCATTGTGGAATTGTAACCAATTACCTCGATAGTAATGTGTTTACATCTTAATCCAATAACCCCAGTCTCAGACATTCCAAGAGTTCCAGAAGCATAAATTTGTAGAGCCTTACTGTAGGACACGGTAGTTGTCTACTGTCACATAGTTTGTCACGATCCAGCCTGTGGAGACATTGCTGTTTGAATCCATTAAGTTTTCATATTGAACAAAAATCTAAGCGAGACTCCTACTATTTACTATTATAACAAGTTTTATGTGAATACTGCGTGGTGTAGAGGCGATGTGGAGAATGAAGCCTCATCACATGTTTAAAACCACTTACCACGCCTCTATGAAGAGATTGATATCATCAACATATGTTCCCCAGATTATCGCTTCTCCACCGATAACCAACGTGGCCTCTTCATCAGTACCTTTCAGAAAAGAAAGTGGAATCACATATTCTCAGTTTGATGGAAGACTGAGATGGCGTAATAAACAACTTAGGTGTTTGTCCCAACAAAGAACGCTTTCCTAACATAGATTAATGTTTATAACCACCGAGAAGGCTCCAAGAAGCACTAATCAACTTGAGGAGAAGCGACTGCCATCAAGCTCCTGAAATCCGATGTATGTCTTTAGAAAGAAGCTTTTGTCAGTCTGTCCTTGCCCTTGTTACTCGAAGCCTTTAATCTCCATTTTATTTTGTTGCGTAATCTTACACTTCAGCCTCTTCCGCGTTTGTTTAAATGTAATTCTGATTGTCTTTCGCTTCTATGATTTCAGTTAGACTCACTACATTGTCACTCAATGTCTCATCTTCATTACACATAACTCCTTTCCCACTGTATACAACCATTCGCTCTCCGTTTTGCTTAAACTTGGAAAAGCAACTTCAGAAACCTGTGGCTACTCAGTCCAGTCACTAGCCTGCCAGATGACAAATATTTAAAAGCTTGACAGCAAGCTGTGGCAAGCATCGGGAGTTCATCCCGGTTATCAGATAACCTATATACATATAAGTCCATTAAAAAGGGATAATAAGTGAACCGAAGTCATGTGAAGTAATGTTGTCTCACCTTCAAATTTAGCTGGATCACAATTGTACAATTTCTCCCCATTCCGTGCAAAATCATTATCAATCTCCTGCCAACACGCTGAATTGATCACCTTATAACCAGTTGATGTAATCGATTTGACTAGATTCTCCCAATTCGACTCATTCTGAACATGAATGACAGTGTTAGCATTGCCCTGAGGAATAAATTGTGACATAAAACGAAAGCTTATTAGTGTATTGTTTTAATATTTTTCTGGAGATCTATAGATTCTATTTAGTTCGTTACTCATATGAGATGTCAACGAATAATTGAGACGACTTATTACACTATGCTACTTGAGAAAACTCACATACAAGATACTGTTGGGAAAAACTGGTGAAAATGAGCAGTAGTATAGGGCTGTTATTGTGAAAGAAACGAGGAAAGTATTGGGACAACGTAGGAGGTTGTGGACGTATTCTCCTGTTTCTCCTCCTCCTCCTCCTTATCATTCCACAGAAGTTTCCATTTTATTCCCAATTTCTTGGTTATTTTCCGTTCAAATCAATAAATCCTCCTAGACGTTTGTGATGCATAAGAAACGCGTTTTAATCAATTGTGCAATATTCAAGGGAATTAAACATTCCTCTGACACTATTAGACTCTTTCGGAGAAAATAGGACAAATTCTTGTGTTGCATGTAATTTCCCTTATTCAGTTTGTTTAAATCTAGTAAAGTTTGACCTCTAATAGTATCGTGTAAACTGGCGAGTATCTGAAACATTGACAACCTGCTGATTCATAAGAAGATTCATAAGAGAAGCATTATCCTCCTGGATGGCAGCTTATCCCTGCACATACAATGACCGTTCCTGAATAGTGTGACTGGTTCACAAAATGTTCTCTTAAATGTTTTACACTTGACATTTAACAAAATAAGGCCGTGGTATTTCTCGAAGAAGAGACAAAGAAGAGATATCATAATGACGGACAAGTTTGGGCTTCAGGTTAGATAGAACTATGTCACATGATCTGCTGACAACTGATCTCTTATTTGAAGATCCTTGACGAAGAGGAAATATCATGCAGAAAACTCTGCTGAAGATTCTGTACATTATTTAAACATTGTTCAGAATAAAGCTATCACTAGTATTATTATATTATATACAAATGTCATTACCTAATTGTATGTAATAAGAGATGGTGATAGCATTGCGAAACAGTGTAATTGGGATGTTGTCCAGACACTGACATAGACGTTCTGTGAAAATGTGCATATGGTTACGACTCCGAACTATTCAGAATACATATAATCCGGTAATCAGAATTCAGACGCAAAACGGTTGATTAATCGTAGAAAATTGCACTGAAAACCATTGTCGACATGATAGTACACTTTATAATTGTCGAGTATGTGTTGTAAGAATGTCTCGTAGATGATCTATAAAGAAGTCATACTGTGGTGATGTGATACAGACAATGTGTGCCAACGGAATACTATTCTCCCATATTCCAGCAGTTATATACTGCATTAACAACAGAATACTATGTATATTTTGAACATTCTATTTCATGTCCTTTTATGTAAACCGAAATCACACGCTCAGTGGTTGGTTAAAGAATATATATATATAAACAGCGATTTGATCAATGAAAAATATACTTTGCCTCCCGTGTCTTGCTTTCTGTTGTTACAGTACTATGATTGATAGATACATTCATCCAGGTGACTGTAGATCATGGTAATTTGAGAGCCACTGATATTTCTGACACTTTTCTTTAACCTACAACATACTCTAACCGTTATCCTAATTTTAACCTTAAACCTAACCTTAACCCTAGAGTGTCAGCCTTGATCTTAAAAGCCATAGCCCTAGCTAACAGTACAGATTTCTAGAAAAAGTAACTAGGGAATAAGTAGAATAATGTATTTACCCTCTCCAATTCAAAAAAGGCAGACAAGATTTGATTTGGAATGACCCTGTGTACCATTCTCTCTATCTGACTGGTTCTTGAAGCTCAGCTTTTGAAGAACCTTAACTTTCGATAAGATATTTGAACTCTTTCAACAGTCATTGTCATACATGTTCACATTATACGTACAAAATCACTTATACTCCTAACTTATATCTTGCTTTGAATACTATTCATATAATGATAATAAAATGAAAATATGAAGTACAGTGTAGTTTTATAACTAATTTCAAAGTTTCAATTAAACTCACACGAAAACCATTTTCAAATACCTCCTGCCAGACAACAGGTGTAATACCGCCTGAATTTGCAGTCATATTCTGAATGATTTCTGTGAGCTGTTCAAAATAACGATTTTCTAGTTTATTATAATCTTGGTCAAATCCATTCTCTTCCATGAAGTTTTGGATCTCCACGTCTTCTTCCCTATCAAATAGAACATAACATTTCTTATTGTACATACAATTTTTGAAGGGTTGTTTTGTACAGTTTTTCAATGATTTCAGTTTAGACCACTAACTGACTGAGATCGGTTAGGAAACTGTTGAAGACTAACAGGAAATACTGCCTAGATGTTTCGGCGTAACTTGGGGCTCTTTAGGGAATGCACCCATGGCCCCTGCTAGCAATTGAACCCTGGGCTTTTGGGTTACTGGTGAAGTCCGTCGACTCTTAGTTCACCGAGGCCAAATCTAGTAATGGTTGTGCCATATACTGGAAACTGACAAAAACTAGAATTCATGGACCATTAGTTTTCGTCCAGTGACTCGTAGGCTGACCTGTCTTAGGTTCATTCCACTGTAGGGTAACGGGTGCGCACATCTGAAGTGTATCGAACAAGGACGAAACAGCTGTGAGATACTCCTTAATCTTTAGTGTTCCGCTGTCTGAGATCAATCCGTGATCTAAATCGATATAAATATTTATAAATGATACTTTAGAACTCACAAACATCTTGAATTAGACATGTCATGAGTACCGATGAAAGCCTCGTGAAACCTTCTGCATAATGTAGTTTTTCCACTGATGAATTACTCACTAATATTCATTAATGTCTGTAGGTGTTTGTGTAGGCGTGTTTATGTCAGACTTTCATTCATTTAAATCAAACAGCAACAAGTATGATGGATTTTGACGAAAGGCTTATATTGTAACTTCCATGGCGTCTGGAATTGAACGTGGGCCGCGTGCGTGGTTGGCAAGATTTCTAAACAAGTGATGCGAATCAACATGACATTAGCTAAATAAATATCTGGCAGACTTACTGAAGTCATAGGTGTTTTGAGTTTTGTTTTAACGGGTAGGCAGTCGACCAGGCTCAGATGCCCCTCCAATGTTCTGGTAAGACACATATCCTCTTCACTTGAGTCATACTAGCCAAATAAATCCTAGAACAATTTATTCAGATAACCTCAAAATTTATTAAATATCTTCCACATCACCGTGAGCTTCTGGATGGCTGATTCCTTTTCATTCGTAGTTTGTTAAAATTATTTGCAGGTTGGCCAGTGTATTGATTAAGTGCGGAATTAGGTAAGGTTGGTACTGTGTAGCATATAGCGATCCAACAAAGTACCACACAGCCTTGCCTATTATTATTATTAAGATTCTAATAAGTTCCAAATGGAAAATAGGTCTTCAGCAACGCACCTTCATTTCATCCTGTTCTCTGCAGTTCTCTTTATTTTGCTCCACGACTACGCGTTATCTTTCCTCCCCTCCTAATACGATTTCTCTCCAACAACCAACTCATCGTTTTCCATTTGTGTTCCACTCAATGGTCTGCCTAGGTTGCACTGTCACTCAACCGTTTCTTTCGTGTGTGTCCAGTCCATCTCCATTTACTTCAGAATGTTTCTTGGGCAATGGGTTCTTGATTGATTCGTTCATTGGCAGAGGTCGTTATCGCTCATCCTTTTTGGCCAGCAATCTGATCTTCATTATGAATCAAATTCAGCTGTTGGTGGGATTCTGTGTCGGCCTGTTGGGAATGCTTTCCATAACGCCACAAATCTCTGAACCACATAGAAGCAATCACTAAATTGCACTAGTGTTAAAGATCCAGGCCTCGTTCCTTATGCTTATTGTAACAGATTTCCACATGAGTTTCAGAGTAATCACCCAGGTAGGTGGGTGGGTAAGGGAGGTTGTTTCTTTCAAATTTCCCCCATTTATGCTGGCTGATTGTTGTCTGTTTTTGTTGCTGTTGCCACCGCTTTTGGCCAGGAATCTTCATCATCTCTGTTCTCTCTATTTTCACCTGAAGTGCTATCTTCTCTGGATGCTTCTTCTATCGCCAACTTGTTGCTTTTCGCTTGCATATCTTCCAGTTTGTGGGAAATCAGACATATATCATCGGCGAAGTCCAGATCCTCCAAGTCTTTTTTGCGTGATTCCATTCTGTCTAAGTTTTTCATCCAGGGCGTAATTGATTCTCTCTTTAATAAACTGAATTATAATTTCAACAAAAATCGCCAAACTTACCATGAATGACTATCATACTTATTGCCGCCTAAGTGTAAAAAGCTATCGGGGAATACACTCAGAATTTCTTGGAATAAACTTGATAGAAACGTCCATACATCCTCACCGACTGGTCTTATTGGTCCATCATGTGATGTACCCGATAGTAGTTCAGGGTGACTTGCACCCAAGGAGAGAGTATGACCTGTAAAATAGATATAGAGGCAGTCATTATATAGTGTGCTCATAGGACTGGAAGAAATGCAGTAGGTACCATCTTACGAAAAGTCAATTGTAATGGTCAAATATTGATTGATGCCAGTGTGGTTGATGTGTCTTGGTTTTTACAGAATGCAATAACTTCCACATAGGAATTTCACTGGATGCAGAACTCTGCCCGCCAGAACAAGCTAGGCTCACGAAAGGCAAATCATACGCTGATCAAATTGCAACTCGACGCATCATCATCACAGAACAAAGCATAGAACGGCAGTCAAACCTCCCTCTACCTCAACTTCGTCAACTTCGAAAAGGCCTCCAACAGACCGAGAATTAATTTGGGAACTACTTCAACACTACTGCGTGCAGTACCCAAGTCTTCATCAACCTCATTCAACGTCTGGCTACATGATAGTGGTACGTGTCAGGTGGTCTACAACAGAAAACGCAGAAAGGCGTTCTAAGTGAATACAGGAGTACATCAAGGCTGCTTGCTTATTATCACCATGGATGGTATTCTTAATTTTGGTGAACTGGATTATGCGTCAGAATCTACTTAGGAGTGAAAAGACGGGAATAAGTTGGCGCGATAAGAAGACTCTAGAAGGTCTGAACTTCGTGCGTGGATGATTCGTGTTTAGTGTCACACAAACTCGAAGACTTGCAGGCAAAATGAAAAAAACTGGCTGGAGAAGCTGGCAGACAGCGAAGACAGGACTCCAGGTGAACATAGGGAAGACGGCGGTGCTGACGATAACCAAACAACAGCAATAGCAACAAAGACCAGCACCAATTAACATTACCGGTAGAGACCTGACACAGGTTACATCCTTCACTTATCTAGGCAGCGTCGTTTCATCTACAGACAGCCAACGTGAGGATGTGAAAGATAAGCAAGATTGAAAAAGTAAGACGAACCCTCATCACTCTGTAAGCATCGGGGACATTGGTTGCACTCAACATAAAGAACACGATTCAGATTTTCAACACTAATATCAAGTTGGTTAGTTCTTCTGCATGATTAAAAGACTTGACTCACGTGCCAAACAGGCTACTGCAGACGATTATCGACTGGCAATCAGGTGGTCGGCAGGAAACATTAAGCAACTAGGAACTCTAGTAGCCCAACGAACCGTCGAAGAACCCATAACCAAACAATCACTGAGAGGTAAATGGAGATATATGGGAGATGTAGGGAGTGTTGAGTGACATCAAATCCTGATACCCAGGGTGGAACTCTAATGCAAAACGATGATTTAGGCGTCGCAGTGTGACAAAGAAGACGTAATATAAGAGGACATAATACCTTGTGGGCAATCGTGGTGCCAGCTATAAGGAAATTCCGAGAACAGGTTAAAATGAAGATGTACTCTTGAATTTCTATGTTACACTCAGGACCTAAGTAAATAATAATAATAATCATAACAAGAATACTGCTCCTTACTCACCTGGACTATCAAATTCAATCATAATTCGAACTCCTCGTATTCGAGCATATTCTATTATCGACTCGATTTCATCTTTTTCATACACATACAAGTGTGGATGATATGCTCCCTGAAAAACGATTACTTTTATATTTCAATTCAAAAATAGATTTCTACCGCTGAAGACAATTCAGGATACACTGAGGAATCATACGGAAAAGCTTCATCATCTGTCATATGCCAATGTAGCACATTCATTTTCACCATCGACAAAGCATCCTTTGTTTATATTTGTGTATAAATCATTAGCGGGAAATCAAACACACAACTTACAATCACATTTTGTATTGTCTCAATTGTCAAATAATGCCTAGCTGTATCAATCATCATTCCTCGATGTGGGAATCGTGGTGAATCTTCAATATGACAAATAAACATCACATTCTGGTGGAATTTTCAAGTGAATTTTTCATAAAACACATTACTTGATTATGTGTAGCTTTATACAATGATTGAAGGATAGTCTCAAGAGCGTGCAGTGTTCCCCATATCTCATGTGATTGAATGTACAAAGTATTCTGAGATATATTCAATGTATCTAAAGGAATCACAATGTTGTAGAGCACTACTCGAAAACACCAGTCGTCAATTCAACTTACATGACTCATCCATTGAATAATATGGCCATAATTTACTCTCTGTTTCATCACATCCTTCTGAGATTACAATCGCAATCTTTGATATTGTACAGATTTCGAACTGGGGGAATAGCAGCACAGGATGGAGCATATTTAATCGTAACATGAAACGTTTTATGGCTTCTTCAAGAATATGACATCCGGAGTAATTATGCTCAATATTCAATGTGTTACTAATTTTACATAAATCATTTTTATTGAAGTATTGTTCCACTTTCGGTATTGTAGCCAATAACAATGTCGTTAAGTTGAATAACAGTGAGAAACTCACAAGAATCTTATAAACCTTCATTATTGGATGAGTTTATTTAAACAAAACAAATGTGAAATTATACAGTAATCTAATGAGCTGATAGTTCTTAATATCATTCTAGTCAGTTTAAAAATACTCTGAAGGGTTCAATGTTTCAATAGAACATTGAATAATTGAATGAATCAGTTTTCAAAATGTGTTCGAAGTCTTATGAATTGATTTCAAGTCCAAAGGTTGAGTAAATTGTTGGGCATAAAAGTTACCTCATTAAAATCACATCAGAACGTTACAGCAAAATGTCCAAAGTTCATTTAGCATCCTTTTTGTTATATTGTATCATCTAGTGTGAATAAGTTTGAATTAACAAAAAATAGAACTTCAAAAGATCGCGAACATATTAAAAAATAACATGACAAAATGACTGTTTTTAAGAAGGCACAGCGATTGAAGTGGGCGATTATATGGCAAATCTGTGTTTTGAAGTGGTGCCACATCCTCTATCCAGTGGTTATTAGAGCGTATCAGTAAATAGGTCAAAATATACCAGCATGACTTCATGAAAATCCAAAAGTGTGTGTTTACCTTTGAACCTACTTCATCCTTTAATCTATTGCACTGAAAAGATATCAGTATCAGGCGACATTTTGTGATGAGAGTGTAGGGAATGTAATGCAGTTCAAGAATATAATACTACGATAATATGTAAGTCAGAAGAAAATTTTATATGCAAAGATTCACCATAGAGATGAACTGTTTTGCTACACGTAGCAGGGATATACAATAAAGCCACTCGCGGTTAAAGGCTACAGCTGGACGATACAAAACACAAGAGTGATTTCGGATAGATGTAGGCATATTTTCTTTTTTTTTCTGAGTTGTCTTAAAGCTCTTCTGAGTTGTTTCCATAACAGACTATTGAGCGAATATCCGCTACTATTTGTGCTGTACGTAGCTGTCAACAGGCGTACAGCTAAACCTCGTTAGTTCACAGTCGGAAGACGGAATTTTGTAGATGCAAGTCTTCGAAATGCTCATCACTGTCTGATAGACAAATTTTACGCACACACACAATCACTAAATTTAATCTCACTGAGTTTACTAGTGTACTAGCAGGTCCTAATTGCAGAGAAAAAGGAAGGTTGGATGTGGAACTAGCTTACCTATCACAGAATATCAACCAAATATCTAAAGAAAGGTCCAAGCACAGGAACAAAATATATAAGATAAACTTACTGCTCTCTGAAATTGGAGAGAAGAACTGACGTGAACTAGTGAGAGCCTTCGGCAAGCCAGTTAACCGATGTGTCTAATTCAGATGAAATAGAAAACAGCTTTGAGGACGTGGAGTTTTCACACGATTTCCGAAGTTCAGAAGGCTGCTTAGGTTGACAAATAAATGAGAAAATATAGCACGGAAGTGGTAGGAATCTGTGGAGTGAATGTGGACTACCCAAATTATTGACTTGATAATCAGTAATCTACTCTGGTCTGGTCACTCAGACGACAACCAATAACACATTGAGGCACTGAGTGGCTATCGTGATGTCACTGGTGGCAGCCAAAGCCTTTCTTGCAGTGGGAACCAATTTCATCCTGCAGGATCATGACAGCAAGATTCAACTCCAAAGGAAGGAAGGAAGGAAGGTCACAATAGTGCAGTGATACGCACAGTGCTACAAACAACGCAGGAGAAGAGAAGAAGGAAGATTTCTATAGACAAATACAAAAAGCGGTGGATAACACAGTCGAAATGGTGACATCAGAATCCTAATTTGCGATACGAATGCTAAATTGGGAGGAGATAATAAAGGAAGAGAATTGATTATGGGTCGAGAGGCTCTCAATGAAATCAGTGACAACGGAGAACTCTTTTCAGAATAGTATAGGAGGCAACCTCTGTTAAATCTCTCCCATTGATGGTCATTCGTGCTGGTTGTTGGTGCTGTTGATTGATTATCTTCATCACTTCCGTCTTTTCTATGTTCACTTGGAGTTCTGTTTTCGCTGCTTGCCTCTTCTGCCAGTTTGTTGGTTTCCGCTTGCAGGTATTTAAGTTTGTGTGACATAAGACAGATGTTGTCCGCGAAATCTAGATCTTCTACAGTTTTCTGATTGGTCGTCCAGCGTTTCCCTGACTCCTCGCCCCCAACAGTCTGACGCATAATCCAGTCCACCACAGCCAGCTTGTCTTACTCTTGTATGCACTTTGAGGGCATCGCTGAGTTTTACGTTGTGGCTGGCAGTAAATAAGTGAAATGACCATCATGTTTTCACCTTTTTACTTGGTCTGGCTAGAGAACAGCACTGGCCGATGGGAGCTGATGCCTGCAGAATCATGTAATTATGCCTATCCTCTTGATTGCCATTAATGGCGTAAAGCAGGTCGTTTTTTTATTATGAATAGTTTCGAGCTCCGAACAAGCTGAATATGTTAAACTCAGAATCGGAAAGGTGACACAGACTTTCATCAACATGAAACTGGTCTGGCAGTTAATGCAGTGATTCAGCAAAACGAACAAGATTCGAATTCTGTTCAACACAAATATGAAGTCAGGCAGTCAGTTCTTCTACGCGGGTCAGACAATTGTACTGCGTGTCACGGAAAAGATATCCAGTAAATTACAGACTTTTCTCAACAGCTGCCCCTACGCTTGCTGGCTCACTGGCTCCATACTGAAGATCAAATTGCCATCCGACTGGCCAGAAAGAATTAGCAACAAGAAACTATGGCTGGTAACAAACCAACGTATAATTTGAGTAATTTTTCAAAAGAATGTTTACTAAACGAAGAATATTCACATTTTCGATGTGAGCCTGCTCTTCATCAGGTTCTACAGCTATGTATCCATCCATAATTTTGAGTGAACGAATTAGTGTTATTAACAACAACATTAATGTTGTTTAAATAACATCGAATCAATAATAATAATATCAGTGGATCACAGTTCAATGGCATCAATATTGCAATACACACTGAATATCAGACGGAGAAACTAGGAAAGATAATAATACAAACTCATGAATTTATCGTCTTCACTGAAGGCCGGCCAGGGCAGTAGTAGTGGCTAGCTGGACTTGTTTATTTTGCACACAAAGCACTGGTGGTTGTCTCACGCGAATCCCAATAGCCTGTGTTGTTCGAAGTGTGCGCTACCTCAATGATTCTGGCAATTTATTTGGTACCCGGCAGGTGGTTGAGAAGGATTCTTCAATGGCTGGCTGGCTGGCTTTGTAGCCAGTTGGTTTGGACCAGGTGGTCTAATATCGAACTGTTCATGGTTTTCACTACATCTTTACTCAGCCATACTGCTAGATGTTCCCAGCTAGCGTGAAAATTCAAGTTCCTAGAGCAACGGCCAATATAACTCGCTCCACATGTTCATCTTCGATTCCTGGAATATTTGTTGCAACTCTTTTGAGCAAAAGAAAAGTTACCACGAGCAGCATTGTTAACCTCGTGAAACTATTGCGGAGATAAATCATAATGTTATTAACAATGATATAAAATCTAAGTGAGAATTCATAATTTCTCAGTTGTCACATCAACTTCAGTTTTCCACTAAGTATCACTATACTTTTTGGCAGTCATAATCAGGGGAGGGTTAATATAGAAATTTTGGCTATAAACTTTCTGAAAAATGCCGAAATTCACTAGAACTGATGTTATCAACTCGGTGTGTCCACTACTTTAGACTACTTTAATGAATGAATGTCTAGAGATTCAATTACTGTTGACAAGGTGTTCCAGGATAGTACTTAAAGGGTATTCCAGTTTTTCCTCCTCTCGGTAACCAGACTGGACAGTGTTCCAGAATACGTTTTAGGAATTCATGCTGTGTACGGCTGATGTACTTAGCCGTACTCCACAGGAGACGAGGAAATAAGAATGCCAGCAATCTTATCTTAAAACACCTTTTCAACTATATATACACCGGGCACCCAACGTATAGTTGCTTATTACTGCTACATAGTTTATTATTGTCTCTCACGAAAAGAATTCGAAAACACTCTATTTATTCATTGCAGAAATATTGGCATTTCTCAGACTGAAATGAGGTCTATGAGTTCAGAAGCCTTCTATGCACTCACTCACCTTATCATGGCTGAGGTAACAGTGTCACCATAATTTAGTTTTCTTTTTATTATTATCACCATCTTTAGTATTGTTAATTAATAACACTATATTAACGATACGGTCAATCAGTATCATTTTCAGACGCCTAACTCTTCGATTCCCATTCTGGTTACACACTAGCGACTGCCTTTACACGATGTCACTCCACGGTCAACTCAGCGTATTTCCACTCCGTCTCCATTTTCTTTGGCATAACTGTCAGCCAATAGGCGCTTGGTTGTTACGTTACCAGATTTCAACATTGTCTACCCTTTCTGTCTGGTCATCTGACTTTCAGCTTCGAAAGAAGTCGGCCGTGGAGAAAATTCTGAAACCTGTTCGAAATGTTACTTTTGGCGCACCAAATCGCTGAATCACATAGAAGAACCGACTTGACATTACTGTTGATATTAGGAATCTTCTTCTTGTTATCCCCACTTGTAGCTTCTTCTTCTTCCATCTTGTTGGTTTTGATCTGTAGACCATCAATTTTGTGTGACATTAAACGTAACTCGCCCAGGAAATACGAATCTTCAGCAGTAAGTACATTTGTCGATCCAGCCTATCATATGGGAGACAAAACAAATCTATACATTCTCAGTCCGATGGGAAGAAATGACTTTTCCTGTTATATGTACACCATGTGTTGATAGCAGATCAAATGCATACACCAATACTGCTGATCAGGTTGAGTCGAATTGTCAGGGTATACATATTATTCTTGGTAGATGTACTTGTAATATATATATTCCCAGTGTTCGTTTATGCAAAATGCACAAAATGCATTCCCCAAAGTGACATTTAAGTTGGGAAGAATATTATAATGGAACGAATTCATCACTGACAAGTGACTATATTTTAGCTGTAATTAGCAAGCCTTAATAAGCCACTGCATAGTGTAATGTGTCTTCTTATTTGCTGTCGGATTGGTAGCTGTTGAGGAGTGTGAATCGCAATCTAGAATGTAGACACATTCAGCAAATTTTGTCATGTTAATAATCTAC